TCTACGATTCTATGATTCATGTCTGCCTCTGACTTCCCATTTGAAAACAGTAAAACTATCCTTTGCCTCTGTACTGGACGCTATGAAGGTGGCCAGCCAGCTAATGCCAAGTGGCAGATATGGAGCAGCATTCCATGGCTGCTATGATAGTATTAAATCCATCCTGTTTTGAGTCACCAGGAATGGGAAACAGCCCTTGAGTGCTCTGTCTATTCTGTGCTATTTCACGCCAGAGTAATTTAACTGCTGTTAAGTATGTGCTCGTTTCACTCAAGCCAGTACAGCAGGAACAGGCCACAACTTCTGGGGCCCTGCACGGCAGCCAGGGGCTGTTCATCAGTCCCCAGCAGAACTGGTTCCAGCCCTGGGCTCTGATGTCCATGCTCTGAAGAAAATACACTTCTAATGTTTCCGAGTTCAAGCATTTATGAACAAGTAACTGCTTATGCAGGTATAAAGCTCCCAAAGCTGCTTCTATGAGTTAAAAAACAGCGATGTGTAAATGTTATTGCGCATTATGCATACAGCTTCGTTAAACCCGTCTGCAATTTTAGCACGACGGTTTGCAGAGCGTCGCCTATGTGTAACGCTGCCACAGCTGTGAGCCTACAGCATTTCTGCCCGAAGAGCCAAGGGGGAGCGCAAACGAAGCTTCGCTCCGAGTCGCCGGGGCGGCAGCAGCCCGGGGCCGCCGCAGGGCTTCGCACCCTCACCTGCAGCGCCAGGCAGCGCGCGTCGCTGCTCTGCAGGGCGGCCCGCATGTCCTCCACCAGCTCCCGCAGGCTGCCGTTCTCCTCCTCCAGCTTGGCGATGCGGTCCTCGGCCCGCTCCAGAGCCACGATCTCCTCGTAGCACTCCGGCGAGGACGCCCCAGCCGCCCCACGCCCCGCCGCCTCCCCGCCGCGCCGCCCCGAGCCCGGCCCGGCCGCGTCCCGCCGGCGGCGGCGGCGGGGGCTGCGCAGGCGGATCTGCGTCTCGATGTGCTCGCTCTCGCGGCCCAGCGGCAGGCGCGGCACGGCGCTGCCCGCCTTGGTGCTGAAGTAGCCGCACAGCCGCGCGTGGAACTGGCGGAAGGTGAGCTCGGCCGACAGGCCGTCCCACAGCGCCGCGCACTCCTCGGGGTCGGCCGCCGCCTCCGCCGCCTCCTCCAGCCCCAGCACCTGGCACAGCGTGCGGAAGTCCTCGCCGGGGATCCTGCCCTCCCCGGCGCAGTCCAGGTGGTGGAAGATCTCCTGCAGGTACTGGTCCAGCCCGGTGGCCAGCACGACGATCTCGTTCTCCACGCCGCGGTCCAGCCCGTAGTGGTAAGCCAGGGCGCTGACCAGCCACTGCGTGCGCCGGGCCGGCCGCCCGTACGGGTCCCAGCCCTCAGGCGGCTCCATCGCGCCCGCCGACCATCCTGCCCGGCCGCGGCCCCGCCGGCAGCTGCGGCGGCTGCGCCCCGCCCCTCCCCGCCCCGCCCCGCCCGTGCCCTGGGAGCTCTGAAACTGCTTGCACGTCCAGCCGTTGGATGGGAACAGTGATCCACTTCCACGGACTGAATAATCGAGAAAAAGCATCTTTTACAAGAAAGTCTGTTAACTGTCCTCTACAAAAGATCCTATTTTTCATCATTTAACTTGGTAGACTGGCAGCATGCAAAGCTGTTTCAATGAAGATCTCCTCCTGGTTTTTATGTTGCAAGACCCAGAGTTCCTCCCAGGGAAGTCAGTGTTCCACAGAATCAGGCTTCCTGTGTCCAAGGGCTGAGTTCTATCCACCAATGATCTTCTGTGTGTTTATGATTCAAAACAGTAGTGTGGCCTTTCATTTTACAGTAATTAGGAATCTCATGTTCAGTTTATGGATTCACTTCTGGTTTTGTTTGTTTGTTTTTGTTCTGGGTATTCTTGTATCTTTAAAGATACAAAGATATTGTCCCCTTGTTGGAATTGATATATGATTAGTAACTTAGGTTTTTGATTGGCGTGAGGAGTGACTGGATGAACTGATAATTTTTTTCATGTTTAACATATACGTATATATTCATTTTCAGTAGCATAGATATGTATACCTAGAAAGCTTTTTCTTAGTTTGATAACTATTTTATCACTATTTAAGGTCCACTAAATGTTCAGTGCTGGAAAGAAAGAGACAGGAAAGACAGAACGTAAACTGTGAGTGCTTTTAGCAGATATTATGTAAATCCACATCTGTTATCCACACACAACAAATGGGCTGATCCCAAACACCACCTAAAGCATAAAGGCCCTGGAGCAAGACAATGCCGTAATTTAAGCTTGTTTTGGCCTAGCTAGTTTCAATTGTAAAAATATTTATCAGGTTGAAATAATTGCTTTAAAGTCTGACAGACTCCCTGCAAAGCTATAAACATGTCAGCATAAATTTTCCTTCAGCACCAGTTTCCAGTTGGGTTTCTTGGTGGTATCTCTGGGTAGAGGAGAGGCATTGTTAGCAACACTGGGGAACATTTGGGCCTTAATTGAATTTCCCATTGCCCATCTGCTATTCTTCTGTTTTAAAATAACGAAGGGTGTAAATGGCACAATGAATCTTTGGCTTTCTGTTTTACCACTGCATCAGCAAAATGAGCTTGTTAGGATGATGCCAACAGAGTTTCACCTCTGAAAGCAAGCAGATACTAGATAGCAGCAAAAAACCCCAAGCATTTGGTCTTTGTATCTTATTTGCTTTTTCAAGAAAAGATCTGATGCTGGACATTTTTGTTTTGCATCATGTTTTTGAAAAGAAAAAACCAACAGTCAAAGCCAATAATTTAAACACTAGGCAGCTGGGCCAGAGAAATGTCCTTCCTGTAACCAGGGGTTTGGATTCAGTAGAACTGAACTTTCTTTTTGCAACTTTTTTAAAGCAGATAAGCAAACCAGTAAACAACAGCAACAGCAAGAAAAAAACAAAAAAAAAAAAAAAAAAAACCACACACAAAAAACCAAATGAACAACAAAAAAAGCCAACTACAACATAAAACAACAGCATGAATTCCTACACAGCCTTTTTTCCAGTGCACCATTACTGATACCAGTCATACAGAAAAGCTTACTCTAAGTGTAATGACAACTGCTGTATTTGCTGCTGACTTCAGGTTTTACCCAAGCCTGGCAAGGTTTGCTTGATCCCCCGCTTATTCTCTGAACTTGCCCTGATGTCAACATTTTACCCAGTGCTCAAGGATGTTCTGTTTCTAGTTCTCATTGCGCACTTCCGCATGATAGGATGTGAAAAGAGTCCTAACTGCAGAGAAGAGCTGATGGCAAAGCATGGTTTGGGTGGAGTGACTGTTTCTGCAGCGTTGTGATAGTAGTTGAAAATTAGAAGTATATTGAAACACTGTGTTTGGAATTAATTAACTGGAGATTTTTACTTTAAGAGATTTATAGGTGCCACAATCAGATTTAAGTCTGCCGACATCATTGATGAAAAGCTGTTCTAAATTGTATGAGGTAACAGTGGGATTAGGAAAGGCATATAAACTGTGTTTACAGAGAAAAATGTTTTGCACTTAATTTAACTGTGCTCATGCTTCATTTCACAGTTTATATATGCGGTGGGGCCAAGGATCAGCTTGGTTTGCTTTTGTGTCTCATGCCCCAGGGTATCAGTAAGCCCAGCACTTGTGTGGGCTGTCATTGAGTCGTGCTGCACACAGCCAGAACTGTTTGGCCATGAAAGGCACTCATCTTGCAGCAAAAATCTCTTCATTATTGTATTTTCTGTTGTCCAGAGTTCCTCCTGACAAGAAGAAAAGTGAAAATTTAGTGCTTTTTCTGACCTATTCTAACAAAGTCATACTGTGATGCTATAGATCATTTTTTAATTGTTTGGTGCTTATGAAACAGTTGTTTTTACAAGGAACTTCAGAGATGAGCTAAAATAATATTAGTGATGTGATGTTGTTCTTGGCATGTTCTTTCAATTTCTTCTAATTCCTAAAATCTTAGGCGTTGTCATCTCTTTTGTTTTGCAGTGTATTTGGAACAGCCCTGTGTGCACAACACAGTAAGAGAAAGGAGGGAAACATAATGGAATGTCCCTATCTGTCATGTAAGTCTGTTCCTGCTTGCAGATTTTTTTCATTTAATACAAGTGTGAGTAATTCTAACCTGTGTAATAAGGTGTTCTGTATGTTCAGCTACGTGGAAACAGGAAGGAGTGTCACTAATTTAGGGAACCTCAGTGAGCTTCTGGACATAAGAAAACTGTATATACAACAAATGGAGAAGAACGGAAGTTTGAAGACTCTTGTGTGGAGCTCATTGGAAACCACTGAGGTTGATGAAAGATCTTAGGTACCTGACTGCAGTTTGTTTTTTGTCCTGAGATAATACCATTGCTAATTACATTCTGGTCATTCTCTTGCTGTAACTCACTTGGAGGAAGAAACAACATTACGTAGTCTACAGAGGAAACAGCTGCAGCTCTCTGAACAACCAGATGTGTTGTTTGACATTTCTTAGCTATTCAGCATCTGGAGCAGTTTTAAGGATCTTCTACATTAATTAAAGAAAAAGAAGTCTGCTGCTTTCAACTTTTATTCGGTGGTATTCATGAGATGGTTCTATTTTATTTCAGAGTAAATGGAGGGGGAAAATCACAATGATTTCCTATAGCATGACTGAGACCAGAGCATGGCTCATGGTGCTGAAGCACTGCTGGCTTTGTGCTCCTGCAGCTAGTGAGTCGGTCTGCAGTTCTCATGGAGGCTGCAGGTAACAGAGACGTGATCTGAGCCTCTGCCACGAAGTTGTGAGTCCTGTTCAGAGTATGTATCTAAATTACTTCAGAAAAGTATTTTCCTCCTAAAACGGCTGCAAAACAGCTCTGAGGACTGGAATGGGAGGCTGGTGTCTAGGATTTGGGCTTTGATCTAGAATAGGTGTGAAAGGAGGACCAAACTTATTTTAAGAGTTGGATCCTGTAGCAGAAAAGCGAAGTCACAGCATGAAACAGTGATGGAGCCCCTGATGGGAAGGCAGGGCTGATCCAGGGGAGCTCAGGTGCATACAATGCAATGCACCTGAGTGATAGGAGAGGTGAGCCAAGATCCACCCCTTCCTCATTTAAGGGTTGGCAGTGGAGGCAAGAGGCAAGAAGTATCTCACTTGATATTCCTACCTACCTGTGGCCTTCTAAAGGTAAGCAGATTCTTTTCTTTGTTTCTCTGGCTGTTGCATTTGGACTTATCTTTGCTTGTTGCTTCTTAGGACTTTGCTATGCCACTATTGTTGATGTGCTTTCCATTGCAGTATAGTTCTTTTTTGTGGGTGTGTCTTTTGTTATTTTCAATTCTGTATGAAAAAATCAGGTGCTGTTGTTGGATCTGTCTGAAAGAGATCTGCAAAAACCTGTGTATGGAGGCAGTGGCAGGTACAGGAATGGTGTACAGTAATCCATGCACTCTTTCTTTCCCATGGAATGCTCCCCAAAACATTGAAGATCTTGTCTGTTAGGAAGGTGTTCCATTACAATTATGTTTTATTGCCTTAGCATTTTAGTTTCTGTCCTGCTGCTGCTTCTCAGACATCAGCTCAACAATCAGGTGTGGGATGTGGTTGTGTGGAAAAACACAGAACAGGGATCTGTGAGTTGAATTGCTTCCCGTTTTTTTTTTCTTTTGCCTTGTTTGTATGAAATACTGCCAAATGACCTTAAACATTGAGCAGCCCATCTCAAAAACGGGGCGTTGTGGTTTGTGGAGGAAGCCCAGGTGTCCAGTTTGGAGTTGGTTTGTAACTGTTGAGCTGACCCGTGGTGGTTTTGCTGCTCTGAGCAACACCTGGGGGTTGGTTGGCTGTGCTGTGCTGGGGGCGAGCTGAGAGCAGCCCAGCGCCAAACCTCGCCTGCTGGGTTCCTGCTTCAGAGCTCGCCCTGCTTTTCCTGCGACAGTAAAACGGGGTTAAATACATCTCTAATCGTATCTCTCAGGTTTGTCCGTATTTCAGAGCCCGTGCGATGGTTACGCTCCTCACATTAGCAGGAAGCGAACACGGGTCTTAGTGATCTGCTAACGCCAGCGGCTGCTCTCACACATCGCGCTGCAAACAGCAGCGATCGCCCTGGGCTGAGCGCGGTGGAGCGGAGCGGAGCTCTGCAAAGCAGGCCCGGCCGTTCGGCAGGCGAGGCGGGGCGGCTCCTGGCGACGAAGCGCCGCTCGGACCCAAGCCGCGGTAACGAGGCGACGGCCGAAGCGCGCCGCCCGTCCTCCTCCGCCCTCAGCGGGGGGCGGCTCGCGGGCCGGTGCCGGCAGGACGAGGGGGCGAGGGCTGCGGGCTGCCCGCTGTGAACCGGCCGCGTAGCCGCGCAACGGCGGAGCAGGAGCGTAAGGATTAGAGAAGTTAGCGGGTGAGGAGGAGATGGAGGAGGGCGGTGCACAGGAGGAGTTGGCGGAGCTGGGTGCTGGGAGCAGCTGCGCGAGCTCGGAGCGGGGCAGCAGCCCTGCGGGAGGCGCGAGGCAGCCCAGCGGCACCCGCCGCGTGCCGTGCGTGCTCACCTTATCGCTCGCTATCCCTGCCTTGGCCGCCAGTAAGTACTTGGCCCAGTGAACCCTTTATTTATTGCTCTATAAACTCGTCTTCAGTGGTTTAAGGAGGTAGTGTTAGAAAAGGTGCTAGCTGATTTGGAATTTTCTGGGTAGGTTGTTAAGGAGACTGTGTGATCTGGGATCATTGCAACCGGTGCCTGAAAATGTCTCCCAGCAGCCCCTCAGCAGCCTGTTACTCAAGTGTTAGCTGTTATTTATCAGTCACTGTCTAATGGTGAAAATAAAGACGTTTTTGACACGTGCTCAGTTTAGGTAGTTAAGGGTAGGAGTGTCATGTTAGCTGAAGGGAGCAGCTTTTCAGATGAGGCATGGATCTCCTGCAGCATGGAGGTTTTGGGTTTTTCCTCTGGGCAGCTCTGCTTTATGCCTGTTGTCTGGGTGGCAGGACGCGTGTGCTTTGGGAGCTGCAGGCATGGGGTCATGCTTCAGGAAGAGTGGGTGGAAGGAGCAGTTCCTGGCATTTTGTGGGCCCTTACGGCAGTTAAACCCGAACAAGGGCTGCATGGTTGGTTGAGCTCTGGGATAAGTGTTTCGTGTTCTGCAGCTGTGGTCATCATTTTTCTGTTGTCACTTTTTAACTCCTGTTGCCATTTAATCAATGCAGAGTGTTTCCCATGAAACTATCGTGTTTGATCACACTTGACACTTTCGGATGATTCTCATATTTTTTTCTCATATTCTCCAGAGCAAAAGCAGATGACAACCAGTCCTCCTAATATGCAAGGAAAGGGAGCTCCAACTGATGAACTAAGAACGAAGCGTTGCTATCACATTGAGTACTTCCTTTTACCAGATGATCTTGTGCCTAGAAAAATGGATTTGATGGTGTTTGGGATGGTTGCAAAGCTATTTGCAGAGTCTGATTCCGAGGTAAGGGATATGGTAAGACTGGGTAATCCCACATCATGCATGGAGTGCAGGAGGATGTTTTCCAGAGCGAATTGTTCTAGTTGTATGTTCCAACAACTGCTTAGCCCCTACTTGCACACACAGATTTGGAAATAAGTATTGAGGATTAGAAATGTATGCTCCCAATCTACATCACCAGGAACCTCTTAGGTTTGTAATCAGAGGTTGTTGTCTTTTAGAGTGTTTGTATAATTTTATAACATTAATTATAAAATTACATTTGTGTAGATTATTGGAATTGTATGTTTGTACTTCAAAGGTAGTAATTTGAAAGCAAGCGCACATTCCATTAAAAGATGGGGGAAAAAATGAGAATTATGCTTCTGATCTTTGAGAGGAAGATGGTTGTGTTTTTTTTTTTTTTTTTTTTTTTTTTTTTTTTTAAGATACTTGAAGAATGTTGCAGATGTCTTGCTTAGACACATCTGGGTAAACGCTCTGTGTTCAAATCCATCAATCTAAATGTTGGATGTGTTGTTCTGAATTCACCTTAGTTTGTTGAGAATTGATTTTAGCACTGACTTTTTAGAAATAATCTGAAAGAAGTGGGAGACTGTTGCTTTTAAAGTACTGTGTATCGTTCTCAGCCTGTATCTGGACAATCCTAGTAAAGATAGCTTATGTGACTCGAGTTAATTCTGTTTACCTAAGTCACAGTGACCAATTATTCATTTGAAAGCTTGTTGCATTGTTCTCGTTAATACTAAGTAACAAAATTATAGCTGTCTTTTACCATATTTTCACTTTTTGGTGAAAATCCTGCAAGTAGGAAGAATTCAGAACTGGTGGTTCTGTTCATTCACTATTACATGCAGTTTCTTTTAGTATTAGTCTGTTAATTCATGTAGAGCTATAATTATGCCTCAAGTTACATAAGAAGAGAAGACTTAAAATAAGCCCAGATTTTTTTTTTATTCACAGACCTTTTAATGCGAAGGCACAGTTTTGTAGAACAACTTTCTGGAACAAGTCCAGTAATACCCTGTAGGAAAGAGTGAAACAATTAAATAAAAATAGAAGTATTTGCTGTTCAAAATCTCTTGTACTTTTGACAGTCTTTCTTCTCCCTTGCCTCTCATTGATCAACAAAGAGAACAACCTAGGAATTCTGTACCATTCCTAGTACTGAAGGTATGATAGGTAACATGGTCACATCTTTCCCTTGCCAACTGTACCTGACTTTTAAGTACGTAGCATGTAAGCATACTTATGTAACAAGCCAAACAATCGTGTGGGTAGGCTACAGTGTAAATGAGCTTAGTCTGTAGCCTGTCTATACCACAAGAATAGGATGTGAACAATCAGTATAATGTACAGGTTGTTAGATGCACACATTGGTTCACCATTCATAGTACAGTTATGTTAACTATGTAGCTAGTGTTGCTGAAATATGAATGACTTATGAAAGAGACATAGGAAATGCTGTGTAGAGTAGTGCTCCTGGTTTTCCTTTGTTAATACCTGTTTTTTTTAAAGTGTCTGTTTTAGCTTTTGTAGTGTTCCATTATGATGTTGGTGCTCAGTGTCTTGCTGAACAATGGCTTAACTGCTGGTCTTCATGTCAGACATTGGCTTGATAAGAATGGCTTGTCTGAATCCACAAAGTGTGCTGACACAACAAGGGGGTTCATGTAAGATGTAGCACGATTTGGACATAAGAAAGGCACGCTTTGAGAGTAGTAGTGATGGTGGTCAGCATGTGAATTTAACCACTTCTATTCTGATGAAAGCCTTTATTGGAGTTCATCTTTGTTTTAATAGACTATTGTGCCATGGCTTGAAAATGACCAGATGTGGATCTCGTGGAACCATCATACAAATGTCAATGTCACTAATGAATTTCTAATAAAATTAAGAGATCATAAAATAACCTTAAAACTTTGGGACACCAAGGACAAGGTTTTCTCAGAAGCAAGGCTAAGTAAACCAGATGCGTCCTCAACAGAAAGAGATGCAGAGTCAGTTGGTAAGTCTAATGCAAACAGATGTGTTATCAAATGTATCTTGAATGTATCGTGACTATATCTGTTACTAAGTTACTGATGAGATTATCTGATACTTGCCTGTCATTGCCATTAAAATAATTCTAGCTTGTTTGTACTCTGAAGGCTTTAGTTTCTGAAAATTCTTAAGGTAGAGAAATGTAACTGGGACTGTCATCTGAACCTGTGTGAATTGAGGAGCTATTTTAGGCTATTGGGTGCTAATAGTAGTATTGAATATGCTCACTTTGTTTTTCTTTTTGTCCTGAGAAGATGTGGAACTTGTACAGCTGTGTTTTTATGCTGTGCATCTTTGTGTCATCTCTTCCTCTTGTTACTTCCCGCAACTTTGTAACTTCAGTCTACGGCTAAGTTCTGGCTATGCTGAGTTGAAGGTCAGAGGTGTCAAAAACATCTTTCTGTTGTGCAACTCTGCTAATTTTTACTAGTTGATTCACTAGTTGAATTAATTTAATTAGAGGACAGAGACCTTGTTAGAGCTCTTACGGACATGTATGGAAAAAATACATACCAGAGAGGCAACCATGAGATGAAGTGCACAGGAAATAGGGTATCCTTCATTCAGCAGGTATGGAACTACTGTTAAATTAAGCACATTTGAATAGTAAAGTTAATTTTATCAGTAGAATACTGTAACTGTTTTCTCTCTATGTATTAATGGATAGTTATTGGATGATGCTACACAATCTCAAATGCCAATTAGTATGGCTTGGGTTTCTTTTTGATTGAACTAATACTAGTAAGTATTTGCTCAGACACAGTGGGCTTTGTGAATAACTGAGCTTTGCATCTGTTTGTGTTTGTAAGATAGACTGGGCGTCTCAGTAGCTGTTGTTGAGGAATGGAAATTTGTCAGTAGTTCTTTCTCTTCTGAACAGCTGCTGTAAAGCTTAGCAACAGGGGGATTAAAAGCTTTCCTTCCTGAAACTGCACTGTTGCAGGTGTCTGTGTGGAGAGGTCCTACTCACTTCACTGTCAGGGCTGTTTGCTTCGTGGGTAAGCCCAGTATTCTTTGAGCTCTCACAAGCCTCACCTGCCCCAATGTTTTCCTAAAGTGTGCATTGTTGAGGAGACCATTTAATGCTAGATTCTTCAGCAGGCTTGTAGGTAATTCTGGTGCTTTTCATTCCCATGTGCCATGGGAAAATAATTGCTCAAAACTTGAGTGGCCCAAACAGAACAAGCAGAAAAATCAGTGTTTTTATTTATTTATTTCCTTCTCCTGGTAGGTGGAGTAAAACACACAGTACTGCTGCAGAGAAAATTGTTTGAAGGGAATCAGCCAGCACCCAGCTGTACAAAAATTAGAGAAGCAAAGAAATCCAAGGCACAGAAAAAGTCTTCAGCCCTTCCAGTCAAAGGTATAATATGACAACTAGAACTGGCTTGTGGGCTGAATGGGAGAAAAAAAGCATAACTGGCAACTTGAGTAATGAGCAAGCAGGGACATGGACTGAGGGAACAAGGTGCTGCAGGAAGGCTGAAGATATTACAGTTGGAGCAATTTTCTTATAGCTTTGATGTAGATCTCTTTTGTACCTCAATTCTAGCTGGCTCATGGAAGGTTTTTAAGGAATGCTAGAAAATAGTGTTTTAGTTGTGCTGCTGCTTCAGGTTTGGAGGTGATTGTATTAATGTCTAGAACTTTGGCCTGGACAAATTTCTGCATTCTTACTGTTTCTCAGTCGTTGGTAGCTATCTGTAGTCCAGTACAGGATATTTTGTTTCCTTTGAACTGCTGGTGCAGGGTGAAGTATGAAATCTTATTCCTGACATTGACGAGATCCTGATTTTATGGAGTTTATGGTGTTGCCTTGTGCCAGCTGAGAAATTGCTGCAGAGCTGCAGGAGGTTAAAAAATGTGGTGTAGTGTTCAGCTGTGGCAGCACTCATTAAGCCAAGAAGGGGAAAACTTCTCCATCTAGTGGCAGTGTTGTTTGTAGCCCCATCTTAAAAACTGCTGGTCTTGTCTGTATCGGAGCCTTACTGAGTCCATTGACTGGAGGGCTGCCCCTGGGATTTCTTTGCACTTGGGCACTGTTGAACTGTGCAGAGTGCTTTGCTGTCAACTCCAAAAGTGTGTGGTATCAAAGTACTTTTTAACTTAGCTATTTGTTTTCACCATTAAACAATAAAACTACTTTCTCTCCCTTTGCTACACCTACAATTTTTGTTAGATTTACAGATGAAATCTTGGGACTTGCCAAGTATTTAGATAGAATTCTCTAAAGGGAAGTGCAGTGATGTACCAGGGATTCAAGGCTTCCTCCTACCTTTAGTATCTGTTGCAACACTACATCTGTCCTTGTGGGGAACACTGAGTCACCAGTTTCATATGATTTGTCTATAAAATTGTTTTTCGTTTTTCTAACAATTCATGCCATGCGTCATCGAAATAGGAGCAAATTGCCGGTGTAATGAGGCGGCAGAGTGCATCTGCATTTTGGTGGTAGTGCCATCTGGTGACAGGTCGAGAGAGGACTGATGGACCAAATGAGGTGTGATGGTCAGTACACTAGGAGGTAAAGGATGGGAACATAGCTTCCAGTTCAGATGAATGGAAAAATGCCAGTGTTTGCCCTCAGTGCTCACCTGGTCTGCATTAAGAAAGAAAGTAATGTTGTGAAGGTCTCCTAATGTTTTTTTTCATTGACCTTAAAAAATCATGTGTGTTATTGGGTGTGCGATTACTGTCTCTGTGAAACAGGTGAGTAGTAATAATTTCTCAGTGTCCTGTTTATACAGCTAGGTCAAAACCTAATATTCCATTGATCCATCGTTGCTTGGTGATAGTGGCAAATTTTATTCTTTATTGTGTGACACTTATTCAGCTAGTTAAGTGCAGACTTTTCTTGTCATTCATACCATGTTGATTTGCTCTGATCTTTCTGTGAGTAGGAGATATATCCTGTAATTAAGGACTGATACATTGTGAGGCTAAATGTTGAGTAATTAACACGTAGGTCTGTGACTGTAAATTGTTTTTCTGTAATTAAATGACATCTGAAGCCAGTTAGTTATAATATACCATACTTGTGGCATATATAAAGCACTGATCAAGTATCAGAGCACTTCTATATATTGTGTAAGAGATCTGCACACTGGGCATGTCACTTTTTTTTCTTTCTCCCTGGTTTGCTAGAATAGCTATTGGAATAATTTGTTGGAATAAGGAAAAATAATGCATGATTTCTTATGGATGTGCATTAAGATAATGTTATCGGTACCTACTAATGTACAGTTAGGATATTTGCTGGTAACAAAATATTATTTGGATACTTCATTTTAATTACTTTTTAATTTCTAGTTTTGTTTTGAGTGATAATTACTGTGGGACTTGATTTTCTAGGAAATAAAGCTCGACTTATCATATATTTGTTCTTGCATGATCTGTCAAAATGCCTCAAATTATTTTATATATTTTAAGCTTATTCAAACTCAGCCTTGGCACAAAGATGAAAGTTAAACAGATTGTGGTTCTGGGTTACACATCAGCTTGCATTTGTGTGCTTTGCAGATGCACTTTCTTGGTCTTATGAGACTCGTCAAAAGTAGACAAATTTAGAATTTGTTTTACTTTCACAGAAGAAACTGATCAGAGAGGACTAGAAACTTCAAGTTATAATGTACTACATCCTTCAGAGGCAGATGACTTCCTTACAGTAAGGTAAGCATGCTACACTTCCATGGGAAAGTGTTCACGTCCTAATAATACAGTTGAAGATGCATATTTTTTAGTATCTATGTTTCTTTTAAGCTTGTTGTAATTATACTCTGCTTTTGGAGATGGCTGACTGTTGCCATAACACTTCTTGCAGTCGTGCCTGCTGATCATAGGACAGGACCAAAAACATTGTTGTCTAACAACTACCTTAAGAATTTTAGTGGTAAATTTCTAACAATCAATGTACAACTTTCTGAAATTGAAGATTCAAGACCTGAGAAGCTATAGCAGTTTTAAAAAATAAAGTGTTTCTCAAGTTTTGTTCATAATGGAGAACTTTACTATGTCACTATTGCTCTTCCAAGCACCTAAGCATTTTCATTCTATCTGTATTAAGAATGATATTTCTTTCTATCTCATTGTTCAAATGAATAATATTATTGTTATGATCATTCCTTGTGGAGGGCTAGGGAGTTATCTGACAAGGAAGCTGTGCTTACTCTAAAAACACATCTGAGATTTAGAAAGTTACATTTCACCTGTTTTATCATTGGCAAAGTTTTGCTGATATTTTAAATGCCTGGAGAAGAGTCTTTTCTAAAGACTCATTTTCCCTTGTCACTCACTTCATGTCAAAAGTATTCATAAGGAAGTACAATCATCATGATCCAATATCTTCTATGCATTTGCAATGTGCAGTGGGGAGATTTCCAGCAAATCCACCAAAAAATTCCATGCTATCTCCACAAAATCCACAGTATGATTTCCTTCACCATCTCCTAACATCTGGGGGTTGCTGTGTATTGTGATGGTTTCCAGGGCCTTTGCTGTGATTTTCTTTTATTGATGCAAATGAAGCATCCTTATCACTTTTATTTTAGTGGATATATATGTAACTTCTAATTTACTTTTAAAACCACATGTAATTCTGTTTTAATTTTGATTGCTTGTTTGTGTAATATTTGCTAGAAACAGCTTTGAGGGTAAGGCCCAACTTCTGAAACAGAAAGCAGTTGCTGCTCCTTTGCATAATACAACTTCAGAAGAAACTGGGAAAACAGCCAACAATGTGGGAATTCTGATGTGTCAAACAGACAAGACAGCTACCTCGAATGGTAAATTCTGGATGGAATTATGGCATAGGGCTTATGAAAGCTAGATCTTAAAAGATAAGGGGTTCTGTTTGTGTATTATTTTTTAAAAAGAATTCAAGATTAGAGAAGTGTGTGTTACCAGACCTGCATTTTAGTCTTTGTTTTCTGTGTTTCTTCAAGAAGCAAGTTATACTCTCTTGTTTTCTTAGCCAGTAGAACAAAGCAGGGATGCTGATGGCCCTTTTCCACCACTTCAAGTGTTCCAGTGGTGAAATGATGGATATTTGCAAGGGCTATGAGTATGCAATAATAAATTTTGGAAAACATTTAAAAATTAATGTTGTAGCTGAAACAACTGTTACAACTGTGAGACTACCAAGCTTGCTATTCCACATTGCTTGTGCTGCAGTTGCCACTAGAGGCCAGGTTTTCATCTGTGGTTTATAGTCCATATTTATTTCTAGTGCTTCTTCATGCTATTAAATGAAGAAACACATCTCTACTGACAAATATTTTGCTCTCTCATCTGTAGCTTATGATTAACTAAGGTTCTATGAAAGATGATAACCACAGCAACAATGAACACTACCATATATGTTAAGTCACCCATGTTGAATGTCATGCTTGTCTGACTGAAAAAATAGCCTGGTGTCCTAGGGTTCCTGCTCACATTATCCCAATACACTTTATAAAAAGAACATTTGCTTATCAACAAGCATCACTGAGCATGAATGTTAACATTCAGTTGTAGTTCATTCAAATTGAGTGAATGCATCAATATTGTCAACCAAGTCCTTCCTTGACAACTATTTTGCGGTTGGGCAGAGTGAAGATAGGAGTTACGTAAGTGGAGGCTGTGGCTAGTTCTGCTGGTATTGATTATGTGAAGATTGAATGTGGGTGAAAGGAATGTAGGGAATAATCACTCACCATCTGAGTAAACTGTGGATATTGATTAGCTTGTCTTGGTGACATCCTTGGGATTTAGAGGAATGGCTTCTGTTTTGTGGGCACAAAGTTAAAAGATGGAGGTTTCTGGAAACAATAAATTACGTGCTGATAAAAATTGTCACATATGCATCATAATACATATGTGAAAAGGAAGAATAGTAAGATGGCAAATATAACTTTAATCTTGGTAATTCCATTAACTTTTAATGCCTACTGCTGTAATTTTTTTTTTTTTTTTTTGGGATTTCATATACTAAAATACAGTGAACTGTGCAGAGGAGTTCTGAGCATATTGAAATACTAGCCTAAGTTGGTTTTAGAAAGAAGAATTGACATCTTTTTGTAAGGACACGTAACTCACTGCGTTCTGCCTATAGCAAACTTTAAATCGTTTCCTCCTTCCTTGGTCTAACCCTGCCTTCCATCAGCAGGTAGAAAGGATCCTGGTGCTAAAAAGGACATGGGTACTACTAGGGCAAACATTGCTTTGCTGCAGTTGGATCTCCTGCCTCTCCTCTCAGGTATTATTCTGTAAGGAAGAGGCAGGGAGGGAGCAGGATGTTAGATGTACTGTGTGTGTCTGAAGCAGCTGTGCTGGTGGGTCTGCCTGGTGGAAAACGAGCTGTTTAGTTCCAAGTTTTGGTTGTTTTTTTTTTTTAATCTGTTGAGAATGTGTTGGAAATAGGATGTCGGTCAGAAGAAAGTGGATTAGTTCTGAGGCTTTCTGACTGTAACTAGATTAACATCACGTTGTCCTGTTTTTGTGTGTAGTGACTTAAATCTTTCTGTGCTCATAGACAGAATTGCCAAGATGTCATAGAGGATGAAACTCAGCTGCTGAGTACATACAGCAAAATTTAACATCCAGAAACATTTAAATATGCTTCTGTACCTTTAACAGAGACTTCAATTGTGATGAAAAGCCTCTAAACTGTTTTAATATTTATGTGAATGGTATATTTGCATCTTCAAAGTGACAGAAAACTTCAGTACGCTTTTAGCTCTTAGCCCAAATGAGACTTCTGGCATTGTTCTAGATACTATTTTCTTCCCCACTGCAAAAGGTAAATAATATATGAAGCAATTATTATTCATTTTATTTCAGTACAAATTCAGTGGAGGTTTTAAATTTAATCAAATACTGATGCCTTGATGAGATAACTTCTGTAATAATATTTCATCTTGTTTTTAAAAGGAGAAAACTCAGTGATCAGTCGACTGGAAGAAAACAGTCCTATTCTTTCAGATGCTTATGTGTCTTTCACTGTAGAAACACCTCTTCTGTCTGAAAGACAAAGGCATGAATTGAATCCACTGGTTATAAAGATTTATTCAGCTACCAGCCTCCCAAACACACCTGTACCAATAGAAGAGCTACAGGTAATGCATCCCACTCCTGCTTTCTGAAGGAATTCTCTTTGTTACAGTGAAGTAATGTTGCTTACAATACGGGCATGGTTTTAAAGAGAAGTTTTCTTGTCGCTGTTTGGCTAGCATTTCCTGAGAGAGGTGTCTCCAGAGTAGTGCCTCTGTATTGTAGGCACTGACAACAAAATTGCAGTCCTTGCATTTTCCAAGGGCAATAATTTACATGTAATCAGCATATTTTTATTTTTGAGCAGTGGAACTTGATTTAGTTCAGTCATTGTGCTGTATTGTTTGAAACCATTTGCTGACAAGTCAGTACCTGATTGGCTCATTCAGAACAGCTTCTGTGTTGAAAGTAGTATTGAACTTGTAAAGCATTCACTTTTTTTTTTTTTTTTATTCTTTAAAAAAAGTGAAAATTATAGTTCTAGATTGTTGTTGCTTTTATAAAAATAGTTCAATATTAATGTCAGGAACTGTGTATCTTTGAGTTTCACATTGCAGGCCTGTTGTGGCAGACTAGGCAAATTGATATACCAGTTATGAAAAGTAACAGGGAAAATATTGCACTACAGTTTCCAGTGCAGTCTTCAGAGTGATCACAGAAGTTTTTATTTTGTTTCCTTTGCTAAATGTGGTGAAATCATGCGTTGTTGAGAGCCAGGAATTGTCAGGATAGTCCTTGACAGCCAGCTTCCTCTTTGTGCTGGTTGCCTTAATGCTGATGAACATTGCACAGGAGAATCACAAGTATTGCAGAATGGATCTTGCTATTTAGCCCCAAATGTCTAGCTCAGTAGCTAAGTAGCTCCACTAACTAATGGAGCTGATACTGTCCATTCCCTATGGTATCTTTGGATAATTGTTGAACTTTATAACTACCTATAGGCCTTGAATCCTACAGATACACGAAGATAAAAATATGTATATATCAAGGAGTCTTTGCAGTCCCCTGCATGCTTCTTTAATAATCTAGAAAGAAAAGGTGTGATTATTTTTTAAAATATGTATGGAAAATCAGGAAATCTGTGGACAGACAAATGAAGGGAACAGTAACTTCCTGAAACACAGGATCCAGGCATGTAGAATGGCCTTCTTGTTGCCTTGAAAGACATAGTTTGTACCATAAAGTACATCCCCATTTTGCCTTCTACAATAAAGGCCAATTGTTCTGTAACATGAAAAATAAGAGGGAAGAAATTAACCCTTCAATTATCTGTTTCTCTCTCTCTCTTTTTGTTTAATAGAGATTGTGTGTTCCTACCTATTGCAAATACAAATTTCACAATTTTCCAGCTCATCAGACTCATGGACGAATCCATGGAACTCATGTCTACTTTAAGGATGTTAATGTATTTTTAACAGGAACAATGAAACCTGGGGAGTTAGAAAGGTATCTTAGAGGTCCACCTTTGGAGATTGAAGTTCATGATCGGGATAGAAGGATTGAAGACAACAGAAAAAAGCCATATTTATTTGGGGAGGCTCAAGCTGATGAAAATCTGGGAGAGGTGAGGCCCCTCGCTTGCAAATCCACAATATGTAATTCTTCTACAGAGAATGAAATGTGGCATCCACATGGGGTAGCTAAAGTAAGTCTAACTGATCTATTGTTGGGTAAAAAGTACATGGCTATTAGTGCGCCCATTCGTAGCTGTTCAACTCCAAATACATCTGCTTTCAATAAAGAGGATAAAAGTAAGAAGATAAGGAAGAAGCATCCACAGATTCTGTTACCTATGGGACATTATCTACAATCAGACTCACTTTTGAAAGTGAGAGTGGAAATAGCAGTGCCATTGAGAATGCATGCAGAAAGTGATGATGCTCAAGTGGCAGATTGCCCATACAGTTGTATAATCTACATTTTTGACTACAGTAATTCATCTTTATTACGTGATTTGGTGGAAGAGATTACAGAAATCAATGCTAAAGCCCTTCAGCTGGACTGTTATCCTCCACACGTAATCAGAATGGCTCTTGATACATTAAAACTGAAAAGCACACTAGAGAAGGCTCCTGAGTTAGATATTGTTACTGGCTTTCACCTACTGGATGGAGCTTTTCATCTCTTTGTCTTGGAGGGATTAAAAGACAAAGCCATCAAGAGACTCTGGGATAGGCACTTTGAAAGGTAAGAGTGACATTTTTAATTAATTATTTCCATTGGCAGCTGAAAGTTGTAGTTTCACAAAGTGAATTCTGCTACTTTATATAAGTGGGAGAGAGGGCAAAGAGAATGATTGATTGGAAAAAAGCTTTTAAAACTCTTAAAATGAGACTATACTACTTCACATCTTGAGGATACATCAGCACAGTAAAGGCAGTATAGTTTAAAGAAACTGAAATGATGTGCAGAAAACATACCTGACTTCCAAAGCACAGGTTGTCTTAGCTTACTTGACATCACATACACTGATGTGTAGCCCCGTGCTATTTCTGTTGGCCAAATATCTGTCCTAATTTTCAGTGGGCCATACAGATGTGCTCCCAGTTGAATTTGGCCATGGGACACACTGGCATGTGATCTGTCATGTGAGTCATTGTTAGCTAATACCCAGTGGGATCTAAAAGCTGTGAGAAAGCTGGAGCCCAACCTGTATTTTTCCTTCATACTTAGGAGGAAAGTATGACAAATGCAAAACTAAAGTTTCCCTCAAATTTCATGTTTAAAAAATAATCTTTCTTTTTTTCACTGCTATAATGTTATTCAAGCTATTTTTTTGTTTGTTTTTTTTTTTTTTTTGTGCAAGTTGCTTCATTGTGCTTGCTGAAACTATTTGTTACATGAGAAGTCATCTCTTGTTAGAGGTAACCCATAGCTTCGATTGAAGCTTTGTTTTACTGCTGCAGTATGAATTTTTGTATATTAGCAGAAATATTTAGAGAGAGCTCTTGAGTAGGGCCATTAAGCACACAGATGAAACTGAGGTGAGCTGCTTTTGAGATGACTGCAATGTGGTTTAAAAAGAAAATCTGTTCAACTCATTCATGACATGAAGGTTTTGATGTTTTCTTTCTTTGTCCATAATCACTTTTTCAGAACAGTTCATGTGAAGTGAAGGCTGTGGAATAAGACATTCCATTTAAAGGACAAAAGGCAGTTGGTTTAATGAGAGATAGTAATTGTATGGCAGAACTGAGGAAACCTGAGATCTGGGCTGATGGTTCTAACCTTGTCGTTGGCACGCTCTGTTACAGAGCTTACAGACGTGAAGATGGACAACTGGAAATACTGTATGATTCACAGCTGTCTTTCAGTCAGCGCCTGTATGCAGACCTGGAAGCAATCTTTTATCACTTCCACCTCTGTAAGCCCCTCTTCAGTATAGCAAAACAGCCTCTGCTTTATGTCAGAGGAGCAGTTCCTTGGGCATGTTTCCAAGCCTTGTCCAGGTATGACTCTTCTAAATCTGTAGTCAAGAAATAAAGAAATATTATGATGGAAGAGTGAATATTTGATATCAAAAGTAATATTCCTTCATCTTTTCCACGATGAAAGCAATCTGTGGGCGTGATGAGTGGTTCAGGTTTCAGATGACTTACAGGCAAGCATGTTTTACTAACTACTGATGTAATGGTAACTGGATATTGGTGAGCTCACTTCTGTGGGCAGAAATTCATAAATTTTTATTTTAAAGAAGAGAACTGTATCAGTAGGGTAGTATGTTGGAACATGCCTGAATGTAATACAAATAGAAGAAAGAGAATTTGGGTGCCAGAAGCATCAGCTAGGAAGGATTTATTTCTCTGCTCTGTTCTCTTGGAGTGATGATTTAGAAGCGAGTAAAGGAGAAGGACTTGTTAGAATCAGAAAGTCACTTGAACTAAGTGGGAAATTTCATGAACGGTTTTCCTGAGGTAACTGTAATAAGGAAGGGTTCTTTATGAGTTGGGGAGACACTGTTTCCTTTCCATAGCTTTTTCTTTAAAGTTCTTTTATGTGATTTATTGCTGGGTCTGTCAGTTAGCTCACTTCGTCTGCGTGCAGCAGCTGTTAGTCTTAAAGCATCTTGACAACTTCTGAGGGGGATCAAAAAAGAAGTGGATAAAGCTGCATGTGCATAAATTATCAATATAACTTATAAAATCATGAAAAATATTCTGTGCATGTCTTTATTTGTCACAAGTAGCTCGTAGGATAAAAGTTGATCAACACAAGTAAAATAAGAGTGAAGCAGAGGTGATTTTAGTGAAATTTGGCAAAAATATGAGTCATGCACTGGAACCAACGTGCATGAAGGAAGTTTCCTTTATTGGCCCACCAGCCAGGGAATAGGAATTCATTAGCTAGTAACTAATCTTATATCTAATTCTAGTGCCAATGACATTCCTAGGCTATTTCTAATAGTTGTAATGAACTGCTATCCTTCTGTATCACTGCCAAATACTCACACATCTGAGCTGACCTGAACTTGTTAATAAATAGATAGTTAAAGTTGTGTAGTTCTTTCCCCAGTAATTTTAGTGGTGATGCTCTGATTGCCATAAAGTTTTTGTAAACTAATAAACTGTTGGTATCTGCTTGTAGGCTCAGTTACCTCTGTCACAGTAAGAGGTTGAGGGATGTTATTCAGGGGGAGCTGCTGCCCTCGGCAGAAATGATCACAGCATTGAGTCGAGAGTATGGAGCTCCATTAACTGATGAGGATCTCTTCACTCAGAAACCTCCTTTACTCTCATTTTCCTCTGACTATGCACCACCAGGAGATGTTAGCAGAGAGAAAAAGACAGGATGTTCTTCATTAGATGACTACAATGAAAAATACGTGCAGTGGAAGAAGGAAGTAGCAGACAAAAAGTCTTTTGAGAGAAACCATATTAAGGTGAGTTGTTTGTTATGTGAAAGAGGCAAGCCTAATAGCTGTGTCACTTCATATCTTGATTAACACCCCCTTCTTCTGAAACCTTAGAAAAGTTTTTAAGCCTAATGTGTTTGTAAGTGTTGTACAAACATTACTAAAGTGTAGGGTGGTTTTATTTTGCAGAGGCAACTGTTTTTTAAGGGGGAAAAAGCAAATTTGCTTGCAAGCAAATAGAGGAGGTGCTGTATGAGTGGAAAGAAAACTGATGGATTATTTAAAGGATTTGCCAATTTCTTCTTGGGGTTGGTTCCTATTTTTGTTCTTCTTCATAGCACCCCCACATCAACCAGTTACACAGTGCTTTGTGGGGCCAGGCCAACAAAGCCCAGGTAAAATTTGTGCTGCTTTCTCTTGCCCTGCAAAGTACTTGTTTAGACAGCCAGAATGGTTAGCCAAATCAAATCAGCAGTTGAAAACAGATCTTTTAAGTAAAAAACAAAACAAAACAAAAAAAACCAAAAAACAAAAACCTGGAATAATTTTATTACTCTTCTGGTTTGTTCCAGGCTGCCATCTGCCCCTTCTGTTGTCTCGGGGCAAACATTAGAATTGAAAACCTTTCTGTTCAGGTAGACATTCGAGCAGAGATATCACACGTGTTTCTGGGGAGTCTGAAGTGTTTTTTGAGTACGTTTCTTAGCTGAGGACTCTCACCGTCGCATGGTTTGTGAAGGGTAGTTTGGACTGGTTTTAACACAAGGAAGTTGTCCTTGATGTTAAAAGCTGCGTTCCTGTGTAGGGGTACTGCCTTGGAATTATTGAACAACGTTGAATTTCTAAGTATTTCCAATTGTAGTTTGCTGCTAGAGAGGTGTTTGATGAGGCTAGAAGAGAAAACAATCTTAAGTAACATCATATTAACTTAACATATAAAGTTCCTGGTAGTTGTTTGTAACAACACAAGAGGATGCAAGCAGCAGCAGTCTTTGGTCTAAACTTTCTGTATAGATGAAGTGTGGGGTCATTTTTTTTGTTCGTTTGAAGTTTGCAGTCTTCTGAGTATACATGCTTCAAACAGCTCTTATTTTATAAATGCTTTGAATCAAGAGGACAATAGAAGGACTGAAGTCCCTTGTAGATTAAAAAAAGAAAAATAATTATTTTTAAATAACAGGTTTGATTAAAATAAATATATCTTTTGAGTTGAAAAACTTGAGTGTGTTAGGGAGCTTTAAACATTAAAAGGAAGTGATATCCAAAATGCAGTGTTGCTCTTTTGCTGCAGTTACCTATTGTGGCAGTCTGAATTCAAAGCCTTAATTTCCATAAGCAAAGTTCGATAGTGTTGGCAAGTAAAGTAAAAGATGTGAGGGTTTAACTACACTGTGTCAGCAGAGAAATTTGAGGAGTCATAATTAATATCGTTGCTCATGTATGCAACTGCAATTGCTGGGGTTTTAATGGCATGATGCAAATGAAAAAACTAATCTTATTTCATTTGATGAAGACTGGCATCAGCTCTCCAGAACACTGATTTGTCTATAAGCAGAAGCCATTCTCTGCTGAGTCCCTGCCTCCAGTGCACTGCCTCTATCTCTGTGTCATTTGCTGGGACAAAATGAGGGGCTAAGCTGTACAAAAAATACAGTCCTCTTGTGGAGAGTCTTATTAATGAAGAACTGTTGTGCTCTTTGTATGTAAATACTTCTTTCTACTTGAGCATCTTCTGAAAGCTTTTTAATGTTTACAGTATCAGTATAATGTTTACAATATACAGTTTACAGTTTGAAATATTTTTGTAGCACTCTAGATTTCCAATTCAGATGGAATTCACACAGAATCTCTCCTAGCAGGCTAACATTGATGCTGTGTGCCAGCTTAAAGGAAAGATGAAGAAGCTGAAGTTTGAAGCTTTCAGAATTTCTCCTGCTGATGGCAAATCTGTTTACAATTATAGCTCTCAGAGCCTGAATTCTGCAGAACTTGCAAAGGAGCATCTTCGCCAGGAAATGGCAAAGGTGAGCTGAGGCACAAAAATGGAAGACCTTGGATTGCTGTGCGTAGGGCTAACAAAGAGAAGAAATTAATTCAATAGGCCCACAGGATGACTTCCATATTAGCACATTAGTTACACATTAGTACATAGGATTGGAAGGGAATCCTTGGTGTGTAAAATTCTTATTGTTGTGCATTGTAGCCAAGTTGTCTCCTCTTCATGATTTGGGCTCTGAGTTTGACAGTGGACTTTTGTATCCTAGAGGTCACAATTCTGAGTTCCACACATCTGTAAGCAGTGAAATTTGAGGGATTGCAATGCTGATGTGGTATAAAGTGATCTGAAGAAGGCATTTGTGAGCATACTTGAAGAATCTCATTTATCTGCTGTTCTCAGAATTGCTGGCTTCAATCTAAATAACAAATGTTTTCCTATCCACTGGAGGAGATGAGCTCTGTGAAAAGTGTTGATAATATACCCATGAACACAATATAACCTAAAGTTACCTTTTTATAATCAAAAGTAAATAATATTAAAGATTTGTCTTCCATCCTTGGATCATAATGTAATGTGAAATTCAAAAGCAGTGTTTTGATTGCTTAATGACAGTTCTTTTCTCTATATAATTCTTATCTACGATTACTTCAAGCCTTAAGAAATGTTCCTGCTTCTGCACTTTTGATTGTTTTCCTCTCCCAGCAAAGGGAACTTCACATTACCATTTACTGATTTATTTATTTTTGTAGGAGCCAAAAACAAGGTTCACTTACTGTCACGAGTATCTTTCAGCCATGTTTGACCCAGTTGATGTGGTTACTGCCTGTAAGGAGTCCTTTGCACAATCCAGGAGTATGTGGCTGTCGCCAGATGGATTTGTATTTTCTGGGTTTAAGAGCAGCATTGAAAGCAACCTGCACCCTCAGATGCCTGATGAGGCACGTGTGGAGGAGTTACAAGAGGTAACAGAGTACTTAAATGAGCCAAGGGAACAGAAGCATTTTAGGAGACTTAAAAGAGGATGACTGCTTTAGCATGTGGAATTCTGTCTTGTGGAGTACAGCCCAGGCAAGCCATCTGGGGATACATCTGAATTTGCAATCGGTGTATATCAGAGCCCAGCTCTCCCAGGCTGTGCTTTGTTTGGATATGCAAACTGTGCTCTCGATGCATACAGAAAACCTGTTGGCCAGTATTACCAGTGGAGTGCATTGTGTTTTGTTTTACATGTAAAAGTGAGGGTATAGAATAAAAACAAAAACAAAAAAACCACTAATGTTGCATTGCATGGTGGATGGATTTCAGGCTGTTCTTCGTGAGCTGCCAAGTTAATTGTAGCCTTCCTTTATCTATCCAAATTCCCTCACTAGTTATTTTCCCTCCATCTTTTATTTGTGCCTTGTAGTTCCAGTTTTATTAGAAGTTTTCTAATCAGTTTCTCTATGGGTTTCTTGCTGCTCTGTGTCCTCCCGTTCTTCTGTTTATTCTTTACTTCTTGTTTTCTGCCTTTTTACTTGCTGTCAGCTGGACTAGCTTACTCTTTCCCCATTTTGAATAGTCTTCAGCATTGTCACCTAAGCACATGTGGTCTGCTATGAGGTCTACTATTAGATGATTTGTATGTTTTTAGAATTGGCAAGGTAAGGAAATAAAGGGAACAGAACAAATTATTGGGGTTTTTTTTTTTTGTGCAATAAAAATAAGTTTTGCAAAATTTACTGAACGCAGTCACAGCATAGAGTGGAACAGGCTGAGTGCTCAGGGGGTTACCTTGCAAAAACTCTCTTTCAAGCATGTGTACGTGTTCAGTTAATTCGCAGATTTTATTTAATTTTTTTCCTCTACAAATTAAAGTAGTTTCTCAGAAAGGTTAGAGTATAACTGAAGTGAAGTAGTGCAAACAAGGTGCTTTGTTCTAGTCCATCATGTTGGAGAATGAACTTTCTCTAGAAGGGAGAGAAGATTAACTACTCAGAGTAACAGAAGCAAGTTACTGCAGTATCATTTCTGTTGCCTTTTGTTGAAGGCAGCGGAGAGGAAGGCAGCTAAGCAGTACATGATTAAGAACTGGGCAAGCTGAAAAAGGAGCAGCAAAAGGAACAGCAGGTTTCTTAAAGGGGTTCACATTTATTTTAGAAATGGCAGGAGAATGCTCTGTATGCTAACATGAAGCCGGTGCTGCCACGGGGCAGATGGAGCTGGGACAAACGGCATGTTGACTTCGAGCTCTACAAGAAGCCACCTGAACCCCCCCTGACAACAGCCTCACTGTCAGGTAAGGTGGTGTTAATTAGCTACTAATAAAGCTTTTAACTTGATGCTCTGATATACAGGTCCTGAAGCTTGCTCAGTTCTGCCATCAAGGGAAGGGAATGTAAATGTAAAGAGGCTTATCAAGGACATTAATGTACAGCAAAACTGTTCACACTTGAGCATATGAAGCATTAGAGGATGTAAGAAAGACGTTGACCATACTCCAGTCTAACCCCTCCACTTCCTTAACTTCTTAGCTTTAGTTTCTTTGCCTGCAGTATGACAGGAAGCTATAGAGCCTTCTTGGTATACTCTTCTGTAAAGCTAGTCCTGGTGGCTGCCTGTTCTTTCTTCATATGGGTCGGTAATGATCAATCAGCTGTTGTTGCTACTGAGGTCAGAGAAAGAGCTATATCACAGTCTGCAAGTAATACCAGCAGCTGAATTCAGAGGGGCCCCAAAATGAGCTGGTTAAATGCCTGTGCTGTTGTTACAGCAGCCCGTAATGCGTGCCCTGGTGAGCTGGTCAGTGTCCACATGTTCTCCCATTAACAGTGAAAGAAAAGGCTGCATTTAATTATGATACAATAACTTGACAAGTTTGCTGTGTGTTTCTCTTTGCTCAGAACCCAGTAAGACTCAGTGGCATGTTCAATGGTAGAAAATAATAGATGTCTCATGGTTACTGAAATTCTTTGTCTTTTACAACTTTTCTGCTGCCACATTACCCTGTAAATTGTAAAACACATGAGTAGTGCAGTTCTTCTCCATTGCTTCATACAGAAAAATGCTTCTGGAAGTAGACAGGATTAACTAATTCGTTCACAGAATCTACAGGACTACGGATTGTCTTTGCTGTGAGGCACCAGCCATTATTCTAGCACCAATATGATTTGTTCTTTGATTCCTTGTGAAAAATGATGTTCACTGCAATAGCAGGCTTTTAAGCACCCCTTTTCTAAGTCAAAAATCTATCTATCTTTCCCATCTACAAACATCCTGTGTCTTTTTTTTTCCTCTCTCTTCAATGTATTTTGACCGTGTGCAGCTGCTACTCATTTTGTGCACAATGCATTCGATGATACCAAGCTGAAAGTTCACCGGTGCTCCACAGCAGCTGAGTTGCGCACACGTGGGCCAGGAGCCAGTTCTCAGCTACAGAAGCTGCAAGGACTTCTGAAAGATGAGCCTCAGAAATTCTCACTCAGGAAGCCAGGACTAGTTCTGCAGGTAAAGGGTAACTGCTATCTGTGGGTGCTGATCTTGGCACCTACCTTTGTACAGCAACACCAGCCATGTACTTTATGGCAGGCAGATAATGACAGCTAATGGAGCAGAACACTTTCTGAAGTAAGAATATGTGTTAGGTTGATGCTTAAACTTACGAAGGTCTTTAAAAAAAAGAAAAATTATTCTTACTACTACTTTGCTTTGGTGGTCAGAGACAATGGAGTATGGGGGAGGATTTCAGTTAAGTTGCCTGTTGCAAGGGATGAGAAAGGAAGAATGATTTTTGGCCAGCTGGCTTCCCAGCTTTAAAAGGGATTGTACTGTTCCCTAATGAAATCTGAGGGTCGAGGGACTTCTGTTGGCTGCATGCCGAGTGTGTAACCTTGTGCTCGGTTGCTGTAGTGCTCTATAGGCTTTCTGAGCATTGCCTGTCAGCCTGTTGGTGCAAAAATTGGATGCAGGCACCTCAGTTTTGGAAGACAAAAGGATCTGTGCTCATTAATATGAAAAGCCGTGTGGGTGGCCTGCATCTAACTGTCCTTTCGTTGGCTGAAGCACAGTCAGTGCTTGCGTGTGAATGGCCCTAGCACAGCTTGCTTTTAAAGCTGATTTAGATCAAAGGGAATGAAATGAAATCTGTTGGCTACAAATGCTCTAGGAAAACAAATACAGGAATTATGAAAATGCTAATAATAAAAGCAGAGCTGCAGCTTGGGCATCTACACCCTTTCCCCACCCTCTCTGCCCTTTCGAAGATAATATTCTATACACCAGTTCTTGCATTAAATGGATGTATAGCAGCAAAATGCCTATCCTTAGTTTAATGTCAGACTTTGAAATGAATGCTACTTTGTGCTCTGCCTTCTGTTTTGATTTGGCTCCTCAAACTATTAAACTTATCCACCTTGGACTGTGCTTGTTTTCTGTACTTTTAATACAAAGGTTTGGTTTGTTGTTTGTTTTTTTTTTTTTTTTGCTAGATTTGATGCAGCTAATAGTATTAATTTATTATATAACTTGTAGCTTGTGCTTTGTGATGTTCTGCTTGACTGTCAGACTTCACTTAACTTGGGCTACAATGGTCTGTTAAAAATATTTCAAGACTTCCTGCTGAAGCCTGTAGGAAGATATTTCTGTCACAAAATTTTTGCCTCATTTGTGAGTTTGCAGTACCTACCAGTAGTCTACTTTATGAGAAACAAGCATGGAGGTAGAGGGCAAGAAGAAAGAGGAGAGAAGCTTCCCAGAACAAAGCGTGTTTTCTTGTCCTAGCCTATCCCAGCCCTGTCAGCGTTGGACTCTCAGAACAGCTCAGATGTCCTGCCAAGAAAGAAGAGTGTTTGTAGTGGCTTTGTACCAGGCCTTCAACACTGCCACAGCCTGAAGTGGAACGCGAACATTATTGTTCCCTGTCACAACAGAGAGCATAAGAAGTTTGAAAAAAAAGGCGCAGATTTCAAGTAAGGTAACCTAATGGCTGGAAGTGGCTCCCAGAAGGGTTCTATGGTATTTGTCAGGAGTTACAGGGTGCAGGCTGTAATAATGAATTACGAGGTTGGTCGGTTTTTTGAGTGTCTCTAAATGAAATCAGTTACGTAGGGGACAGGTTGTGGTGTTCCTGGGAGGCTGTCTTTTCAATCCTTACCCATGAAATTAAGGAACTGGGATTGCCATTGGTAACTATTTGCCCTGTGTCACTGTGTGTTACCTACAGTCACAGAATTGGGTTCTCCACAGTACCCTCAGAGGTGCTGGCACTTCAGCTGTGTTTCATCTTATGTTGTCTGTTACTGCAGAACAGTTTTACCTTTACAGTTTTAATTAGACTCCTAGAAATCTGAAGAAATTTCATGATGTTCGAACTTTCTAAATGACCTCATGAGACAGCACATCTAGCATTAGCAAGAAACTTCTTTTAGTTATTCATCCATCTCACCTACAATATGGAATGTGAAGTGGCTTAATAGATGTACTCCTATTTATTGTGGAGAACAATATTTGTTCTTAATTTCACAATCAAACACTCAGAGATATTCATCTTTCATTTCCTTGTTCAGTCCATGCAGAACTGTACTCTTCCAGAATACCATACTTGTCCTAAGTCATGCCTAACGAGGTCAGGTTTCAGCCTTTTCAATTTGTGAAATGATTTATTAGCTGTTATGTCTAACCTGATATTCTAGTCAGTTGAACAGTCGACTTAAAAGCTGAGTAACAAGAATGAAGTCATGTAGTCGCACTAATTGATATGTGTAACAAGCTCATTTAACAGGTTCAGTAACAATTAGTAAGCCTCTTAATATAATGGTGTTGCAATTATTCTTTCAAAAACTTGTGGATCAAAGAGATGCGGCCTGATCTTAGAGTACTTTTTTTTGTTCCAGTTTACTTGGCTCTATACAATCAGTTGACAAGAGTGAGCAAGCAGCAAGCAGAAGCACTACTACCTGTACACAACGGGATGACCCTCTCCAGAATGATATTCCGAATGCAGGTAACTCAGTGAGTAGAGAGAATGTGTCACAGGACAGAAGTGATGCGCTGAGCTGATGGGTAACTAAATTATATTTGGGGTTCCCAGGAGAGTAAATGTGTACCTTGTCATCATATCTGAATAATGTTCATGAAAGTTCTGTTGTCCGTGACATCACCATCCTGGACAAGGCAATGACAATTGTGGTTGGCCCTGCTGGCCACAGTGCTTTGAACAAAATCAGCTCCTGAGGTCCTTCCCAAACTAAAGGGTCCTCATCCTTCAAGTCTTTCAGCGCTTCTCTGAAGGCGCATAAGTCGTGGATTTAAGCTTGAAGAACCACATCCTCTTCCTGGGAAAACGTAACTCAGTCTGGATGTCAATTGATTTTTATTTGGCATCAAAGATAACAAAACATATTTCTAAAAATAAAACTTGAAGATTACAGTAATTTCTTTCTTCATCCTCTTTATATGAATGAAGTTGGTTTTAGTCTTATTTTACAGATACAGCTAATTACATTTTGTAAACTCATGAAACAGTTGTTTTTAAGGTGTCAAATACTTGAACTGGAGAAAAATAGTTGCTGTTTGTGTTACATTCATCAATATTAGCTGTCAATGAAGTAATTAGAATGTCCTGTCCAGTGGGTGTGAACAGATATAAGCTCTCTTTTCCAGTACCTGTTTTGCAGCCTTTTTAATGTAGTCATCCAGATTTTCATCTGCATCTACAGAAAAGCAAAAGAGCTGTTGTTCTAAATTTCTTTCAAAAAGGATTGCAGAACACAAATTTAAGTGTCTGAACATCACTGGTAGGAAAATTCTAAAACGATTCTGATTATGGCTGACTGAGTCATTCCCAAAGCAAATCCCCCATTGGTTAGTATTCAGATGAACAAGTCATACCCAATTGTTACTTAATATTCACAGGAGTATTTGTTACTAATAATTCTTCTTCACCACAGCTGAAAAAATAGTTTATCCCAAGACTGGATTCATCTATAAGAGCAGAGACTGTTCCACTCACCAGTTCTGTTCCTCATCCTAATTAAAGGCAGAGCAGAACTGTTCTATGGTTATATCAAAAATACCTACTTTAGTTGAGAAACTGCGAAAGCCACTGAGTACAAAATGCATTTTATAAAGCTTACATTTTTGCAGTTGAGCCATGGCATAATTATTCTTGAAATATGCTTCGCTGCAGAAGATATTTGTAAGAAGCACCTGCAAAATAGAGTATTAATTTAGTAGTTTTAAAGTTTTAATTTCATAAACAAAACAATGCAGGAAAAATACAATACTCTAAGTTGCTAGATAATATGTAGTTTGTGTCTTAGATAAGGAGCCCTGTAAGAGTGGTGTATGCTGCAAGCTCAGTTATTTATTTCCCACAGCTACTGCATCACAGTGCTGGGATGGCCCCCTCACTGGATACTGACTGGAAGACATTGGTGCTACTAAGTTCAGCAGGACTTTCACACAAGATCTGAAATCTCAGGACCACTGAAATTCATCAGTTTGGATTTGTCTCACAATTAACTGAAGCAAACTTAATTGTTATGCAGCGTAATTGTAACTATGAAACCTTACATGAGCTGCACTATCATCTCCAATGTGTCAAAGTCTCTCATTTTACTGTCGAGACATTTAGTAAGAAAAAGTTGTAATAATTTTTAATAGTCGATAATGTGGAAAGAATTTGGGAAGAACAGCATGATGCTAGAAGGGTTAAGAGAGTGTGTGAAGCCCTAATTCATTCATAAGTGTTATGTAGGTCAAAGGATATGGATAATATGGCAGCTTGTATGCTCAGAGAATGGAGAGGTAAGTGGTGTGGTTGGAGGTAAGTGGGGTGGTTGCTGTACCCAGGCGTGAATCAGTTGAGAAACAAACGGGTGCAGTTTCATTGGAGTTCCATGGGAGTTTGCTGCAGTAGGTGCACATCCTTCACAAACGCAGAGTGTAGCTTTAGTGTAATGAAAACTATTTGTCACTGAGGTTTTAGGCAGTGTGAGACATGAGCATGCAATGTCTGACAGCTCAGCACGCTTTTTAGAACCGCATCACCTTGTGAGGCAAAGAATGCAACGGCTGTATTTCAGGGGGGAGGGGAAGTTGGCCAGTCGAGGAAAAAGCAGCTCGTTAGAGACTTGTACAAGTTATCCAGGTTAACATCTCAAGGAAAGGTCTAAGCATAAATATATTGCACCTTACTCATAAAACATGCAACTAGACAGAATGATCCTAATCACTGCTGTGTTAGGGAAACCCCTGGGCACAGATGTTGCATGGCTGTGACTGATACTGAAGCACACTTACTTCATGGTCGTGGTTTCTTAGGCCAATGCTGATGGACCGGCTTGCTCTGGAAATAGCTGCTGTCATGGCATACAAATTAATACAAATATCTGCCACTCTCTTCAGAGCCAACTGCTCATCCACTATTGTCTAGAAGAATAAAAATGATCAGGTTATAGGCTTCAGTCAGATTGCTTTTTTCCATACTTTGTATTTATGTTCATGCTTATTTAGAGCATAGACAGGTAAGTTATTACACTGAATTTCCACTCCTATGATTAAATATGCTCCACCTTTTCCAGACTTCCTGGCTGCAGCCAGGAACTCCTTTGGTAAATGCTAAATCACAGAGGGGTTTTTGGCACTTGAATTTCTATCTACCCCCAAACAACAACCAAACACATTTGTTAATGCTGAGTGGCGCAGTCTAGTAAGCATGCTCAGAACTCATAAATCTGGGGTAGCTGTAGCTCCCATTTTAGCTAAGCTGCTTTGCATGGTGTAATTCTGTATTTGCTGTATAATATGAATGAATAACCATAACAGAAAGCACGCTGGTACAGCTCTTCTTTTGGGAAATGGATTCCAGTGACTGCTTACAGCAGCATACTTAGAATAGCCACAGCCACAAGCTGTGAATTTGTGCTTACAGGAATATAAGGACACATTAACCTGATCCCAGTGATTGCTTAAGTAAGTGAAAGTTGTTTGTTACATCAAGTTAGTGTAGAGTTGGAGAATGTTTTCTCAGTCAACAGCTATCAGTTGTGCAAAGGAAATCCTGGCTCTAGCCATACACTGTCCACTCTATATTGCAGTGCGACCAGTTGAGGAAAAGTTCAAAGATAAAACTCAACACGATACTGTTGTTACCTTGCCAAACCTAGTGAGGAGGCCTCTCACTGTAGTTCCAAAATAATAAACATTTTCCTCAAGTTTCTTGCCACTCTCCTAAAAAATAAAACAGACAAATACATACTTAAAATATTGAGTACATTTAAACAATTTGAACATTCTCCAAAGGTAAATGAAAACCTACAGCAAAAGTCTTTACCAGAAATGGGATGCTTGGATAACCAACATGCTGGGATTTGTGTGTGCCACTTCTAGTCAATGAAAAGAATTCCCTTTTAAGACTTCAGCGTTTTACATTTCCCCAGCTATCAAGGATAGAGACTTGGCCTGTGTACTTAATGGGATTATAAACCACAGAGTGGAAAACTACTGCATAGTTGTATTCCTTTTATCTGTTAAATTTTTCTCTTGCCAACTACGGTGTTCTTAACACTCAGTTAAAAGCCAGTTGAAGCACATTTCTTCAGCAATAAGATAAGCATTAAGCAGTTTGATTTTACTTTTCAGTATAACTTCTGATATAACTTTTCAGTGTAGTCTTCTTTATGCTTACACAGATAATAGTTTGAAAAAAGTCTGTGCACCTTCTGCCCAACAAACCCGATTCATATTTTACGTACTGCATGCTACAAAACCCCTGAAAGTCAGTATTGTGTGCTATTGCCCATGTTTTCAAACTTTGCTGGTAAGGAGGTAGGAGAGTTTCCAGTGCCATGTTTGGCTTTTATTAATTCTTGAATGCAATTGCTAATTGGTTCTTGTAATATGAATGGCTATGGTCTTCACGTTGGAGGTATTAGAGGTGCTCCCACCCAGTGCACAAGGTAGGTCAGCATCACTGCTGTTAACACAAGCCACCCACGTACACTGGTGGCACTGCAGGACACACTGTGTTTATCTGTGGTGAAAGCAGGGCCGTGTGCACAGCACAGGATTAGCAAATGCTCTTACATGTGTGCCTGACACAGCTGAGCTGGGGCCACAAATGCTGACAAAAAATGATTTCATTACACATCTCAGATCATTACAAAACACCATAGGAAGAATATATAATAATCTTTCCTTCCCTACTAGCAACTTTAAAAACAAAACAAAAAACCACCAAAACCTTTTTTCTTCTTGGCCCTAAGAATTAAGTGATGAAGCAAGTGTGTCCATAGATCACCAAAATTCATAGTTACAACCACATTACCATTAAACAGGAAAGTAATGTGTTATACAGCTGAGCATATTACGTAGAGCAGTTTGTAGATATTACTTGAAATTGATATAAACCTGGATTTGTTGCAAGCACAGAGTTGTAACATGGTTACTTACCTCTGAAATAATACAAACACTTGCTTAGATTTGCACATCTCCCCCTTCCTAATCATACTTCATTCTGCATCAACAGACACAAAGTTGTGACAAGCCTCCAAGGGAATCAAACATAGAAGAGCAATGCCTGGCTCTTACCTGGAGGCTGGGATGCACCAATCCACCTCGTTCTTCCATTATCCCATAATCCACTTTTCTGCCCGTTGAGTCCCTTACTTTGTTTACCAACTCCTGCAGTGCCAATCCTATGTTTCCTTTCTTGATTTCTCTAAAATGTTGAGTAAAAAACAGCTGCTGAAATACATTTGCTGGTTTGCAAGGGAAGTTTCAGGATAAATGCATTATCTAGTTATCTGCAGTGTTTTCATCTTTTGATTCCATTTTACTATCAAGTCCAGAGAACCACACAGCCTTAAAAGCACTCAGCATGGCCCGTTCCTCGTGTCAGTACAGTGAGTTGCAGACACCAGTCTGTGTATGCACTCTGTCTTACAAATAACACTTTGGTATAAAATCTTAAGTTGTTTTAATTACTGGTCTTATAATCGTACACAAGCTGGAAATATAAGGTAACACAGTCAGCAAAGATTCCTAAATATATAAAATAATGCCAACTAAAAAGAAAAAAACCAGACCCCTATACATTGAACTGCCCTTCAGAGAACTTAATAAGAAATGCAGTTTTTTTCCAACCATTTTCCCCTTAGATACAGTTAAAATTATCACTGTTTAGTTCATGAAAAACTATTAGCAATAAATAAGAACATACTTAATTTTGTCAGTTAAGATTCTGCCTGCATGCTGCATACCCGTCAGAGCAATATACATTCGCAGGATTTCATTTGTTCCCTGCAAAACAACCAGTAATATATCAATAACATCAAACTGATATGTAGTATCAAATAAAGTGTTTTTAGTATTCAAAAAATCTGGATATGCTGTGCTAACATTTTATGTATTTCCTTGTTTCAATGCTGCTTTCACTGCCTACATAACTTCCCTCCTTTTCCTGGGAACATTCTAACATGCATTACTTTAAGGTACAATTATGTTAGAGATGCACAGCAGACAAAACAGGTAGTAGTAATGTGGCCATAACAGGTAGGTAAATGGTTTTGCCTTTTCTAAGTACATGCATGGTTTTAAAGAGAGGTTCTTTTGTTAACTATTTACTTCCATACATTTCACAATGTAACAAATATTTCTAAGCAGGTCTTCGAGCTGATCTTCCCCTTCTAATGCTACACAGCATCAGTTTTAAAAGGTCACTCTTTACCAATCCGTGAATGTTTGCAAACTTCTCCTTTAGCTCACTGAGTGATGAAAGTCTGACCTCCTCTGATTGTGAAGGAGTTGAGCTTTTCGTTATTAGCCATGCATTTGTAACGGAGCTAGAAGGAAACCAGGCTGAATGCACCTGGATGAAAAAATAACTTCTGTATTGTTCCAGTAAAGGAATACTTAAATATTCCTTTGTGTTCATTATGATCATTTGGAAAGCAAAAGCAGATCAGGAAATGGAGATCATGAGCCTGTACAAACGTGACGTTCAGGAATCCACTGTAAGATTGATTGCCTTAACGCAGATAGCAAGAAAATAACTTCATGAACAGGGAAGATTAGTGAGAAAATGAACTGAGATATTGAAATGTGTTGTTGAACACAACACTTCCTAAAGCCAATCCAACAGAGGAGGATGTTACATGCTGGCAGTTTTTGCTCTAGTCAGTACTGGAGTTGACTCTTCCTACTTATGTGAGATTTCCACAAACAGCTGGGGGCAGGGTTCAAGCTCAAATCCTGTTTGAATGTTCTTGCTTGCATTCACTTCCAGCTGAGATCTTTGCTGCCCTGACAACAGGAGACAAACACTGATTTCTACACAGTCTCCCCAAGAAAAACTCATGTGAATCATGCAGATGATAATCCCACTTGCAAACAGTAGAGAACAAACTTCACAACTAACATTTTGTATTATACATACACACATCAACAAGGTGAAACTTCCAAATTAATCATCTGTGAGCTTCCCTGCTTTGCTTCTATGCAGCACACAGAGGAAAGGCTGCACAGTCTCAGAAAAGAGCAGCTTAGATGCAAGCAAGAGTCAGAAAATCCTATTAGAGAAGTTGTGTGAAAATAAAAAGTTTTGCCTGTGCCTCTTACCAAATCCTACTGCACATATTAGAGAAATGAGAATAAAAGCAGTGAAGCGCTTTCAGAATACGCTGGACAGAGTGAGAACGTTTCATTCTCTCTTGCCTAAGCATACACTCTGATTTCACCACAATTCACCATATGCAATCACTACGATTTGCTGAACATAAACTGATTTTCACTTGCCAGCTAAAATAGTTTTAAGTTCTATGTTAAGCAGTGCTTTTAATAATTCAGAATTCCCCAACACGTTCAAAATTACCACCACCCCAAAGCATGAGCTGGGACTTCATTTCCACGCTGGGGTATCTGAAACAGGTACAGTCAGTTTTGTCCAAAACATCCAGAAGATGCCCCCCCCTTTGAGAGGAAACAAACAGTTTATTACAGTACTGCGATACAAGTTCTTTCCAAGGGCAAAGTCAGTTCCTAATGAGCCCACACTTTGTGGTTAATCTATACAATCCATCGTCTCCAAGTTTATTATAGGAAAAACACTACGTATATCACCAAAGAAAACAGGATTAGTTCTTCAGGCTTATTCCAACCATTACAGAATTCAGAGCCACCAGACAAAGGCCTACTCAAACAAGTACTGTGCTGGATTTGTTTCACCTCAGGCTTACAGAAGGTGTGTGTGTTTCTGTCAGTTTCTGGTAAAACAAACAGCATATTCATACTTGCCTCAAAAATGAGCAGTATCCTGGAATCTCTGAGATAGCGTTCATAGGGGTAATCCTTCATATAGCCGAGGCCTCCAAGAATTTGCAGAGCTTCACTTACACAAGCCCACGCACCTTCAGAGCTGAACACCTGCCATTAACAGCATTCAGTTACCGCGGTTCACACAGTAAGAACAGACGTCATAGCTTTGATACTACACTGCAAGTTAAAACAGGAAGTAGCGCTGGATTTGGAAGGATTCTATCTGTGCACCATTACTGTAACATTCTGTAGTGCTTCTACAGTAGTCCTGTATAAAGCTTTCCTGCAATAATATTCTTGTGCTTCAGTGTCAACATGAAAAGTTACTCGAAAAATGAACGTCTCCTATATTTGCAATCCACATAAACTTCTCAATAAGGCAATGTTTCCATGGGGGTCAGAGCCACAAGCTGAAAGAACAAACAGCTGGTCTTTCTGAGTGCTTTACATTGCCTCACTTCACAGGCACATGTCCTGAACTCAGCAGAAGACCAGCATGGGGGCTGAAACTTCTGACTTCTCTTCAAGGCTGCACTGCCAGCCTATGGCACCCACCTGTGTGCTGCAGGAATGCCTTAAAAAGCCACACTCCTTCAGAGAGGGCCTGGCTCTCGCCGAGTTTGAATTCTGCATTCAAAGCAGGAGGGAAGCTCCCTAATCAGGTCTGTAGCTGGAAATAAAACTTAAGCACTTTTTTTGTGTGTGAAATTGCATAGAAAGAGAATTCAAGAGGACCCCAATATGCCAAATGTGCTATATGCAGCCTGACTTTTGTGTGGGGATACAAACCTGAACATAAGGTACTTTGTAACGTATGGAAACAGAAGTCTTTTTTTAATTTTTAAATCTAGCTGAGTCTTTGTATGTACATCTAGAGTAATACCTGAGCCTCTATGCAATCTGTAATGTAGACTGAAAATCAAGAAAGGTGTTTGTCCTTATTGGCTCAGCACTGTTGGCAAGTCCTTCAGTAAGATTAATTACCTTGACCATGGCTGCCTCCACGGAGCAGTCTGGGAGGCCTGGCCTGTCCATCATTCCTGCTGTGAGGTAAGCCATGCTCTCCATTACGTACGCTTTCACAGCCATAAAACAAAACTTCTCCTGTCAGATAGGAATGAAAGAAGTCATACACACTGATGCATACACTGATGTAGCCAAGCTTGCAACAATGCTGAAACTGAAGAGTATATTTTCCTATGTTTTAACACATTATTCAATAATACTTAATAAAAGTACTACTGCAAAGCAGTCATGAAAAATTTTAAAGAACTTGCTTCATTTGTTATTCACTTAAAATTACATAAAAGATCAATGTACAGAAATCTGCACTGAATTTATAGAAATGCAGCACCTCTTGTGTTTTTTTAATCTAGTACACTCTAAAGGATCTCAGCACAGTCTGTGTCACAGCACCTAAGCAAAGCACAGAGATGGAGCATTTCATTTTTTTTTAATTACCTGAATTAATCCAAACTCGCTCAGTTTCTTATTGAATTGTTTCCTGGTACAAGCGTGCTCTGCTGTCAGTTCTTCAAAACAAAACAAAACACCACAGAACAATAATCTCAAAATAGTACAGCTATCATTGCTGTGATGCATCATTCCTGCTCTATGGAAGCGGTGTTTTTCTACTGACTGATCAACCCCTACTGCTTCAGCAACAGCACACAGTGAAAAACACCCTCAGAATGCCTGCACGATCGAGTCTGGGGGTGCTGTGCCAAAGGCTTTTAAACAAGACCCACCCACCATGCCAAATGTGCTCACAGGAAGCACATTGTAACGCTAATTTCTTTTTTGAGAGATGCTGTTAGTATTTTGGTAACTATTGGTAGAAGCCAATTTTAGTACTTAGTAGTGCGTGTAAGCCTTGAACATGACTGAAATTTGAAAGGAGGCTACACTGCCTAAAAGCAGTCAGATATCTGTTATGTAAGAATTCATTACCTCAGAATAACTGTAACAGAGGCATCATCTTCAGTTTTTTACAAGTTTTTAAATCAAAACTTAAAATTAGTGCTTTAAATACATCAAAGTATGTTATGACTGCCAGTAGTGATGTTCTGATCAAGATAAATGTTACTGTATTGAATTAGCACTATCACATACCTTACACAGATCAGATTTTTTTCCCATGGCATGCAGTAATCCAGAACACCTAACTCACTCACCTATCAATTTTTTAATCACTCCAGCAGATGCACTGCCCATGCTGAATCTTCCACTGTTCAGGATATTCATGGCAACCTGTAAAAATAAAAAGAGCTTTTTTGTTTAAGGTGAAAAACTGCTCTCTGGCTTCATGTTTTTAGTGTTTCTTGGATTTCATTCATCACCACTTACACTTCTTACCTGCAATACCAGTCCTCAAACTGGGCAGTCAGTGCAGCATTGAGCATCTCACCAGAAATGCTTTAAAACCAGGTATTTCAGACAACCTAGCACATCTGATTTCATACACAAAACAGTTTTCTGATGCTGATGATTCAGTTACTCATTATTCAGTCATTTCTGTACTGAAAAATGGACAAGGTATTGGATTTCAGAAGGCTGAGCTGGAGAAAACAGCCCAGAAGAAGCCCCCAGACAGAGAAATATCTGTTCTGTATTGCACAGCAAAAAGGCACACGTTTATACTTGTGCTGCAGCTTGTCTCTGCTGTTACAGAGGAGGAAGGCAGAAATTCTACTTAGAAGCACAAATACCCATTCAATTTTTCTTTTATATTTTCACTCTACATTCAGCAGTCTCGTCTTAGTCTTACCCTTGGGCAGGCTGTAACACCCACCCACCAAAAGCTGTTAAAATGTACTAATTCTTTTAAAAAGTCATCCTGAAGCAAAACAAAGGACTCCTGCCTACAGAAGGCAGAATTTTGGTGAGGTAAGATGCTCATTCAAAATACATTTTGGGAATATGTGTCTGTCTCAAACAGCAATTAGCTTGTCAAAATTCTGCTGAGTCTTACAGCAATGTACAAGAAGGGGAACAAGATGAGAAGTGCAGAAATGAAATACAGACCCACACTGTATAAAGATGATGAAGTTCAGTACTATTGCTTTT